GCCTTGGCCCCCCCACCCTTGCCAAGGCCCTGGGGAAAACCCCCCCCCCCCCCCCCCCCCAGCCTCCCCGCACCGCCGCGCCTCAGGCGGGCTCGGCCACGACGCGCCGATCGTCTCGCGCATCTACCAGGTCCTCTCGGACGGCACGCTGCCGTACCACGCCGCCCTCAAGGTGGTGGACACGCCCTTCCCCTTCGCGTACGCGCAGCTCAACGCCTTCATCTGCCTCGTCAACCTCGGCCGCCCCTCGCGGTCGGAGGCGGCACAGGCCGCGAGCGCGCGCTGTTGACACGGCGAGCTTGAGTAGGCCTCTTCCCGGTGGTTGTGGTGGACAAGGTCGCCTCCCTCCCCCTCGCGGTGGTCATCTCCTTCTGCTCGGTCGCCTTCCTGTTCGGCCTCAACGAGGTTGCGCGCGACATCGAGGACCCGTTCACCACCACGCTCGGCTGGACCTTCGGCGCCAACCGGCTCGACGCGCCGCTGCTGCAGGCCTACTTCGACGAGCGGCTGCTCTCCATCGCCTCCCTCGCGGGCGACGACCTGCGCGAGTGGCCGGAGGGGCCGTGCCGCTACGGGCCCTTCCTCTCGATGGCGATCGGCAGCAAGGCTGTCGAGGAGATGTCCGCCCCGTGGTCGAGCCACGGGAGAGGCGCGAGCATGACCGTCCACGGGAGCATGGCCGACTACCGGAAGTGGAAGCGCGACGCAGACGAGGGCAGGCCCTCGGACAAGTCGGACGAGGGGGCCGCCACCCGCTCGTCCACCGCCCTCTGAGGCAGCCGGGGCGTGGGCAGGCGCGTCGCGAGCGGAATCGGTCCTGGGTGGAGGTCCGGCCGTTGCTGCCGCGTGCGTGCGTTTGAGGTTACTGGTTTCGGTTTGTCTCGCGCATGAGAAAGAAGACTCCCAGCGTCTCTCTGCACTGTGCCGCACGCCGCGATACTCGGCATGTCGGTGGTAGAGGGATTGGAGGCTGAGTTGAGACGGAAATCGGGGGACGCCGGACGCCACGCGACCCACTTCGCCACACAGTCACACTCACAGAGAGTCAGAGACGGAGAGGTCAGAGGCGGGAAGTGGGGTCCGGGGCCCCACCGGGGAGGTCCCGCGCCTCGCCACTATGACGGGTAGACGACCGCGGCTCGTGTGCGTCTACCCGTCTTTGTCCGGAGTGAAAAGTCCAACGCGCTCGTCGGTGGCGGCTTCCCCCAACCTGCGCCGCGCTCGGCGAACCTCGACAGCGCCTTCGGTGGCATGCAGCTCTTTGCGACAGAAGCCTGGAGAGCAGCTCCACTGGAGCAGGCGGACATCGCTTCCAGGGAGGGGGGCGCCCTTCTACTCACGCCCCACCCCCCCCTAGCATGTGGTGGGCGCTGGGGCCGGGTCGGGACCCCCCCCTAGCATGTGGTGAAGGTGCTGGGGGGGTCGGACCCCCCCCCTAGCATGTGGTGTGAGTAGAAGGGCGCCCCCCTCCCTGGAAGCGATGTCCTCTGCACAGTTGGCACAGCCTACTGTGCGGCTGCCACAGCTGCCACAGCGATGGGGCTCGCCCTCACTGGCCCTCAGTCACTTGTGCTGCGGCTTGTGTGAGCGACACTGCTCGGCGACTGCCGGCACACTGTGAGACTATGGGTGAGAGGTTAAACCACGCTACCAGCGCTTGGTCACCTCGGCCCCGAGGTCAGATTCTTCCACTCTGTTGATGACAAGTCACAAGACTTGTCTACTCGCTGGAGCCGAGCAGGAGGGCCCGGCGCACAACCCCTGGTCAACTCACCCTCCATACCCCGTAGTCCCTAGTTCGGCCTCCGAGCGAGTGTGTGCGGTGCGCGCGAGACGGTCGATCTCTCGGAACGGGGATTTTTCGTTCTGCGCATTGGCCATTGCACCATTGCGCCTTTTTGTGTTTGTACGGGAAAGGGGAAACGGCGCTCGATCTCGCCTGCGCTGGACGACGCGCGTACGGGCCTCTCCCTCTGCTCTGGGTGTGACCTCTTTGTCTCCCCCCTCTGGCCCGCCGCGCACATTTGCCGTGCGCCGCCCGCGCGAGCGCGGGTGCCGGGTCTCGGTTTACTCGGAGCAGCCCGCTTGGCCAAAGTACAGGTTTCGATCCGGGCCACCGCAAATTTTGATCAGCAAATTTCGAGGGGCGGCCGCAAATTTTGAGGTAGATTTTGATTGTCAAAGCGTGTCCGTCTTGGCACAGGATAGAGCATATAAGCGGCGAACACCCAGGTGCGCAGAGACATCGCGACTCTGCCCGCTCGCTCGACCCTTTTGCCGCGAGAGGGCGCCGGCCGCGTGTAAGAGGTGGCTGGCGCCCTGAGGCGGCAATTGGTGGCGTGGCTGTGGAGTGCGGAACGCTACTGGCGGCGTGACAGGGCCTCTCTCGATTGCGTGTGCCGCGCATCGGCACGCGGGTGCGCAGACATCGCGACTCTGCCCGCTCGCTCGACCCTTTTGCCGCGAGAGGGCGCCGGCCGCGTGTAAGAGGTGGCTGGCGCCCTGAGGCGGCAATTGGTGGCGTGGCTGGGGAGTGCGGAACGCTACTGGCGGCGTGACAGGGCCTCTCTCGATTGCGTGTGCCGCCCATCGGCACGCGGGTGCGCAGACATCGCGACTCTGCCCGCTCGCTCGACCCTTTTGCCGCGAGAGCGGAGAGGGCGCCGGCCGCGTGTAAGAGGTGGCTGGCGCCCTGAGGCGGCAATTGGTGGCGTGGCTGGGAGTGCGGAACGCTACTGGCGGCGTGACAGGGCCTCTCTCGGTTGCGTGTGCCGCCCATTGGCACGCGGGTGCGCAGACATCGCGACTCTGCCCGCTGCCTCGCTCGACCCTTTTGCCGCGAGAGGGCGCCGGCCGCGTGTAAGAGGTGGCTGGCGCCCTGAGGCGGCAATTGGTGGCGTGGCTGGGAGTGCGGAACGCTACTGGCGGCGTGACAGGGCCTCTCTCGGTTGCGTGTGCCGCCCATCGGCACGCGGGTGCGCAGACATCGCGCCTCTGCCTGCGCTCGCTCGACCCTTTTGCCGCGAGAGGGCGCCGGCCGCGTGTAAGAGGTGGCTGGCGGCCTGGCGCCCTGAGGCGGCATTTGGTGGGGTCAGCGTGCGGTGCTGAGTCTTACTCGTCGGCGCTGGGGCCAAATCCCAGCGCAGAACTCTGCAACGCTGGCATACAAACACAAGAAGACAACCCTAACCCTAACCCTAACCCTAACCCTAACCCTAACCCTAACCCTAACCCTAGCGCCTAGGTCAGCGTGCGGGGCTGAGTCTCAGTCGTCGGCGCTGTGGGGCCAGATCCCAGCGCAGAACCCTGCAACGCTGGCATATACAGACACAACAAGACTAACCCTGACCCTAACCCTAACCCTAACCCTAACCCTAACCCTCTAACCCTGATACGTAACCCTAACCTAACCCACCCCCCAACTCCACACCGCAAATTTGAAAGATATTGTTGAAAATCAGGCCCGGCCGCAAATTTCTGCAAAATTTTCGCAGGCGCTCCGCGCCTGCAGATTTTGAAATAAATTCGACAAAATTGGTACCTGGCCCATTGTGGAGTGTGAAGGCGTTCGTAGCCCTCCGGTCTACTATGAAGATCGCAGGGCTGGAGCGAAAAAAAAGCATAAAGCAAGCGAGTGGTCTCGGAGAGAGAGTCAGTGTCAGTCAGAGAGAGGGCCCTGCGCCCAGCCCCAGCCCCCAGCCCCCAGCCTGGCCCAGGCCCCAGCGCCCAGGTGTGGCCCAGGCGCCCCAGAGCCGCCTACGGCTCTACGGATCTTAAAATTTTATACGCTAAGCAGTAACTGGCGGAATAAACTCGGAGAGAAGAGACGCCACACACCCGAGATATGCGCATATGCCCGAGACACCCGGGGAGAGACGGGTGTGCGCCGGGAGAGACAGGACCACGAAAAGTCAGAGACGCGTGTGCGGCCCCGCCGCATGAGTAGAGAGCAGGACACACCCGCCCCACCCCGACCCCGAAGCGGTGCTCTCCGGATCCAAACCTCCTGTCCCCATGCCCCCCCGACTAGTCCTCTACAGGTATTGTTTCCCCCGAGACGCCGCCTCGTCGCCGTGGGGCGGGCACCACGCCGCTCCCCTAGCCCGAGCTGCACTCTGGCGCGCGCCGTCGCCTCCCGGGGGGGGGCTACGCGAGATACTTGTACATCCGCCAGTTGTTCTTGTCGCGCTCCAGAAACTCACGCTCGATGAGCGACTCGATCCGCTTCTTGATCACGTTCGGGTGGGGCATGAAGCGGGCGGTCAGCTGCGCAGTCACGTCGGCGATGAGAGCGTTGTGCTCCATCTGCGGCGGCGGCGGGCGCGAGGTGAGCCGCCTCGCTCGCGCCGGCGCGGGAGGCGCGGGCGGGAGGAGTGGGCGGGGGCGGGAGGAGCGAACCAAGGGGTGCGAGGGGCGGGACGAGGGGCCGGAGGGGCGCGCGGCGAGGAGAGTGGCGCTGGTCCGGCCGAGCTGGCGCGCCTCCTTGCGCGACTTCATGATGCGGACGATCGCAGCCTCGATCTGCGGCTTTCGGTCCTCGTCCACCTTTTGGCGCGTCTCGTGCTTCTCCGCCTCCGTCTCGCGCTGCGCCGAGACCGTGCCGACCTTGAAGCGCAGCTGCTTGGAGGAGAAGGAGGCGTTGAAGGAGAAGGCGTCCGACTCGTCAACCTCGCGCCCCTTCGGCTCCTTGAGCAGGAGCTTGAACTTGCCGCACGCGAGGGACTGCAGCGTCCGCTTCAGCTCGGCCGGGGCGATGGCCGTGTCGCGCGCGATGTCGGCGTAGCTCAGCCGGTCGTTGTCGTTGAAGAGCAGCAGCACGCACATCATGTACGTCGACACGTTGATCTCGTGCCGCGAGGCGCCGAACTGCGCCTTGAGGTCCGCGTTGCCCATCGAGGTCTGCCACTGCAGTCTCCGGCCGGAGTGCTGCTTCAGGTAGTGCTCGCGGAACACCTCGCAGCAGCGCGCCACCGGCGCGGGCAGGTTGCAGCCGCCGGAGACCTGGGTCGGCCAAAAGCCCGTCGTGAGCACCTGCACCGACAGGTCGATCGACTCGACCTTGCTCGAGCCGTTGGCGGCGCGGAACTTGTCCTGCGTGTCGGCCGACACCTTCATGTCCATGAACATGCCCTCGAGCTTGGAGGTGAACTGGTAGCCGCACTCCTGCTTGAGCTTCTGGATCATCGAGCGCTCGACGTCGTCCGAGATGGAGCGGCCGCCTGGGGCCGGAGGCGAGGAAGGGGGGGGGGGGGGGTCGAAGACCACTCCACCGCTGCAGATCTCGCACACGGGCAGCGCCGCGCGCCGAGCAGCCGCTTGGCGAGGTGCTGCTTGTAGTACTTTTCGAAGACGTCCTTCTCCTGCAGGTAGCGGAAGAGCATCACCACCTGGGGAGGAGGGGCGCGGAGCGAGAGTCGGCAACCCCCCCCTTGCGGTTGTGCTTGGGCGGGTGGTCAGAACAGCCGCCTTGTCGAGCATTGCCTCGACCTGCCGTCCGGGGAGGTGGGCGGCGGGTGAGCGAGGCGTGCGAGGGAGGCGTGTCAGCGAGGCTGGGCAGCGGGGAGAGTGAGCGAGGGCGGTGGCGCGGGCGAGGCGCGGGCGGGAGAGGCGAGGGCCTCCGAGGTGCATCTCGGGCACATCTCGGGTGCATCTCGGGTGCATCTCGGGTGCATCTCTGCGGGGCGTGGAGCGCCTCGTCCTCCGACGTGCCGCGCATGCCCTTGCGCATCTGCTCGTCGACAAAGAGGGAGATGTACTCGGGAGAGCGCTGGTTGAGGTTGATGAAGTACTCGAAGGTCGAGTTCAGCGCGTTGAAGAAGGTCTTGTCTCCGCTGAAGGCGCCTGAAGGGGTGGCGGAGGTGGCGGAGGTGGCGGAGGTGGCGGAGGTGGCGGAGGTGGCGGAGGTGGCGGAGGTGGCGGAGGTGGCGGAGGTGGCGGAGGTGGCGGAGGTGGCGGAGGTGGCGGAGGTGGCGGAGGTGGCGGAGGTGGCGGAGGTGGCGAGGGGCCTCGTACGACGCAGGGAGGCAAGAGGCGGGGGCGGCGGGGAGGGGCGGCGGGGAGGGGCGGCGGTGAGGGGCGGCGGGGAGGGGCTCCTTGGATGATGCTCTGGTACTTGTCTCGCAGCGCGAGCAATCCCTTGACAAACTCGACCGGGTCGCGCGCGGCGCCCGGCTCCTCCGCCACCAACTGCTGCCCCCTTCCCTTGACGTGCCCCGACATGAGCTCGCGGATCACGCCTGCAGTGCGCGGCGGGAGGGAGGGCGGGTGAGCGGGCGGGCGAAGGGGAGCGGCGCTTGGCTGCGGTGCGCGGTGCGCGCCCAGCCCGTCGGGCGACGTCACTCTGCCGAAGAGCTCGTACGCCCTCTTGAGGTCTGGTATGCGGTCGTCCTCGAGCATGGGCACGACGCCAGAGTGCTCCATCTCTGCGAGGGTGCGCATGTGCTCGGCGATGAGCTGCCGCTCGACCACCTGGAGGAGGGCGGGAGGAGGGAGGAGGGCGGGAGGGGAGGGGGGGGGGGGGGGCTGGGCTGGGCTGAGGGGAGGGCGGAGGCACCCTCGGGCGCGCGGCGCCGCAGCGGCGAGTGTGCGAGCCGCGGGTGCGGGTGCAGGTGCGGGTGCGGGTGCAGCCGCGGGTGCGGCCGCTCGCCTCGTTGAGCCTCCCCTCGGACGCCTTGTCGAGGTAGTGTGTGACCCGCTCGTGCTCCTCGCCCAGCCGCGCCTCCGCCTTGCGCATGTACTCGGAGGCCGAGTTCTGGGCGAGGCACTCGTGCGACTCCTTGCGGTAAAAGTCCGCCGTCGCCTCGAGGAAGGGTACCTGGCGGGGGAGGCGGAGGGGCCGGAGGGAGTGGGGTGGGGTGTAAGGGGGGGGGGGGGCGGGGGCGGGGGCCCCCCAGGCAGGAGGCGGCGGCGGCGGCGGGGTGCGGCGGGCCAAGAAGTGCCCTGCCCCGGGTGGTAATGGGGTGGTAAATTGGTTGCGGGCCGGGTGGTGGCCGTGTGGTGTGGTGTGGTGGGGTGGGGTGGGTGGGTGTGGGTGTGGTGTGTGCGGTTGTGTGGCGCGCCTCAAAGTCGCGCTGGTAGACGTCCTGGCCGAGCTCGACGAGCATGGAAGTGACTGTCTTGATGACGCCTCGCTCGATCGTCTCGGAGCACCGCTCCCGGTGGATCAGGTCGAGCACCGTCGCGAGCAGCCGGCCCTGCGCGGGACGGTCGCGGTGGGCGGTCGGCGAGAGAGGGAGAGCTGGGGGCCGGTCGGGTGGAGGCGGTGGCAGAGGCGATGTGGCGGGCGGCGCGGCGGGGAGGGCGGCAGCGCGGCGGGCGTCGAGGACGGGCAGAGGGCGCGGTGGGCGGGTCTCTCCGCGGGCTGCCGGCGCCCGGGCCCGGGAAGGAGGGTCGGAGCGGCGGGGGGCGGCAGGGTGCCTTGATGCGATCGTTGCGGCAGACTTCGTCGCGGAAGATTTGCAGCCCGCGCTCGAACACGGCCACCTTCTTCTGGGCGACGACGTAGGTGCGATCCATGTACATGAGGATGTCACGGATCATGATGGACGACAGCCGGTGCTTTTCCCACTTCTCCTTGAGCTGCGGCAAAAAGTCGCCGTCGGCCGCAACCGCAACCTCCTGCGCAACGCCGCGCAGGTGGAGGGTGATGGTCTCGACGAGCCCGTTGTACAGCTTGTCGCCAAACTTGTGCAGCACCATGTTGTACGCATTGCGGTACAACTCCTCGAACGAGAGCCCCGACGCGTTTTGCCGGTGGATCTCGTGGATGGCTGAGTGCAGCGTCTGCCAGGTGCGGTTGGCGTACTCCTCGTCCATGGCCTGCGACTGGCGGAAGGGAGGAATGACGAACTTCGTCTTCCCGCCCGCCGCCATCCTTGCCCAAAACTCCGGCGGAGGGAGAGAGCGGTGCGCCGAGCGCGCTTGTCAAGCGCCGCGAGCTTGAGGACGCCCCTGCCTTCGCCAAAAAAGACAACAAGGGGCGAGGAGTGCTAGTATGAGCCCGATCCGTCGTAGAGTTCTTGCGCTTCGGCGGTTAGTGGTGCACTAACCTCCGAGAAACCCTTCGGGTCGCTCCTCATCGCAAACCCTGTCAGCAGAGTCCTCCTTCGGGAATGTACGTAAGAGCTCTCTACATACACTGAAAAAGGAAGAGGACTAGAAAAGAAAAAAACTTTTCCGCCTACCGCTCCTGCTTCTTCTCCACCCCCTCTCCCTGTGCTACATTCTTTCTTTCTCCTTCACCCGTCAAATGGTGCCCTCCAACTCGCCGCTCCGCCGCCCGCCCACTCCGACGACGCCCACTAACAGCAAGACTCGCTTCGCATCGGACGCGCTCCACGCATGGGCGCTCGCCGCCATGGATGCCAGCGATGAGGAGAGGACCGAGACGGAGGTGGCGGGCCGCACGGCCAACGGCGCCGCCACCGCCTCCAATTTTCGGCAGAGTAGCCCACGCGCACCGCTGACGCGGCTCCCCGTCCGAGCCGGCTCCAACGTCTCGAGCGAGACGAGGACGAGGCTGGCCTCCAAGGTGAGCAGCGGGCGGGCGCCTCCGCTGCCAGCAGTGGCGGCCAGGTCCGCGCACGCGGGGCCGGCTCCGTCGTTGGAAGAGAGCGAGCGTGCCGCGGTCGAGGCGATCATCCGCTCCTGCGCCGGCTCCAAGCAAAAAACGCCGTCACAGGGCGCCGCTCCCGCTTCGTTGTCATCGCCGCCCGTTCTTCGGGCGCGCGCGGCTGCTGCGCGACTGCAGGTGCAAGCCCTGCGGCGACCCCGGGCGAGCCCTGTGGAATCGGGAGCGGCCGACGCCGGCAAGACCGGGAGGGGGGCGATGGTGCGGCCGGCAGCGGCAGCCGAGGCGTCAGCGACGGCAGGGGCGGAGACGGCCGCGCCGGCGGTCGGGCGGGAGCCCTCGTGGCTTTTGGAGGCGGCGGAGACGCTGCGCCGCACCTCCGACCCGCCTTCCCCGGTTGCAGAGACTCCGGCCGCCACGGCGGCCGCCGTGGCGGCGGCACCATTGCTGGCCACAGAGCCGGCGGCAGCCGCACTAGTTCGCGCGGCGCCTCCCCTCTCGCCCCCCGCCCCGCCGTCGGCGAGGGGCTCGCCGCCTCGTCGCGACGCGTGCCCGACCGACGGGCGCAGGAGGAGGCTGCTGCTGCTGTGGCTGTCCGTCGCCGCCCTCCTCCTCGGCGCAACCCTCACGCCCTCGGCCCCGCCGCCGACTCCCGCGCGGCTGCCTCTGCCCGCGCTGATGCTGCCGCCGCCCGCGCTGACGCTCCCCGAGTCGATCCCCGAGGTGGAGGTGCCCGGCGCAGGCTTCGTGCACCGCGGGCCGCACGCAGGCGAGGGAGCAAAGCGGGGCGTGCGTGGCGCTGCCGCCGCGGCGCGCGTGGCGATGGCGCAGGGTGTGGAGGAGAGCTTGCGCAGCCAGCAGGAGGGGAGCGCGCGGACGTGGCGGGCCGCGCGACGAGGTGCGCGACGCCTCGGCCGCGCTGTGGAGCACGTCGGCTCGCTGCTGGCGCGGCTCGGGTGAGCGGGGCTGGTCCGTGGTCGGGTGGAGAGGGGCTGGTCGGTCGGAGCGACTCGAGGTTGATGGCTGTGTACTGTGTTGGCTCTGAGAATTTCCGCATGTGCGCGCACAGCGTGGTGCGTGCGGTGCGCGTGCGCGGCAGAGCGGAGCTACGGGAAAAGATCGGGATGTGGTTGTGCCTAAGATGAATAAGTTTAAGACACCCACAACTCAAGCGAACTCATCTCTCATCTCACAAAAGACTCAACCAGTCAACCATCAGCATCACACAACTCCCCCTGCTCTCCTCTCCGACTCCGTCCGTCCGCAATGAGGCTCTTGAACGCGCCAGCACTCATCTTCGGCCGCCGCAGCGGGGGTGGCGACGGCGGCGGCGATGGACTCACCACGACGCGCGCCTTGAAGGGCACGGTGTGGCCGAGGCGATCGTACCCCGTCTTTCGGGCGTGCGTGAGCAAGGTGTCGAGCAGCGGCAGCTTGAAGGCGACGTACGGGCCAGAGAAAAGGCCGTGGACGGTCCGAATCCACCACAGCGTCGCACCGAGGCGCGCGCCTCGCAGCACAACGCAAGCACTCACCGCGAGCGCGACGGCGCAGACGGCAAGGCCGAGGTCGAGCCTGCCCAACCGGGGCAGCAGCCCTCCTCGCACTGCGTCGGCCGGCAGCGATGAGCTGTTCGCCCGGGCGATCGCGCCGCCCGAAGCGAGGTGCAGCCGGGAGGAGAAGGGCAGGCGCTGCCTCCGCTCGAGCGGGACGAGCGCGCCCTTCTTGACGGACTGAGGCAGCAGCGCGAAGGTGCGCAGCGTGACGCAGAGCTGCAGCAGCCAGAAAGCGGCGCCCCACAGGTGAAGCTTCGGCCCGAGGCGCAAGCAGACCTCTGCACCCCGCGAGCCCGCCTCCCCGGCCACTGCGTCCGCGTCCGCGGCTGCGGCGAGGGTGCAGAGGTAGGCGTGGTAGCAGGCGTAGCTCGCCGCCCCGAGGCCGAGGGAGAGGAAGTGCGACACGCGCAAGCCGACGATGAAGGCGCAGAGCTGGTACCTATTAATGAGCGTGGATTAATTCTTAGCCCAAATCGATTGACGCCGATGGAGACGGCGCCTAGTTTGTACCTGTGAATGATCAATCGTTGATGAGTGGCTGTTGATTAACTAAATCGGACGAGGGAGGCGCAGAGCTGGCACTCGTCCGAGCGGTCGACGAGAGCCGCGAGGACGAGCCACCACAGCTGCCCGACGAGCGGGAAGTGGCCGAGCGCCTGGAGCGCCCACCACGCCGGGCTCCGCAGCGAGCCCCAGAGAGAGCGGTCGGAGGGCCACAGCGTGTGCAGCACGAGCGCGCGGAAGCGACGCATCGCCAGCGTCAGCGAGGTGGGCGCTACGCGCCGAGGGTGAAGCGGCGGCGGCGGTGGCACCGGCGGCGGTGGCGGCGCCAACGGCGGCGGCGGCCGCGAGAGCAAGGGCGGGGTGTGCGGCGGCGGCGGCGACGGCGAGCGAGGAGCGAGCGCAGAGCCGGAGGGTCGCAGTGGTGACAGGCCGAGCGCTCGCGGCGAGCCCGGGTGCGGTGACTGCAGCATCGGCAGGAAGGTCTCGTCCGTCCAGCGCCAGCATTCCTGTTTGATATCGGGCAGAAGCGCCATGACGAGCGTGTCGAGGGCGTGCTGGACGGGCAGAGGCATCGCGGGATCCTTGAGCCGCCGGCCAAGCCGCGAGGCGACGCCGTCGAGCGCGGCTTCCACCTGCACCTCGAGCTGCTGCTGCGTGATGGCCAGCAGCGCGGCCATCTGAGCGCGAAGCAGGGAGCGCACCCGCCTCGCCGCAAGCCCTCGCGCCCGCTCGAGGCTGCGCTGGAGCGACTGGCCGCCTCGCCGGCGCAGATAGGTGGCGAGGCCAGCCACGAGGAGAGCGAGGAGTAGCCGCCTGGCGAGGAGGCGACGGATGCGAGCCTGTTTAGGCGGCATTCACCACGTCGATCAGCGGCCACCGCAAGCACGCTTGACCGCCCGCCTCGCAGACGGCCGAGGAAGAGCACCCCACAAGCTGCGGAAAGAAATGTCACGCGATTTTCTTTTTTCAAAAACAAAACAGAATGGCTCAAGACAGTCGACCTATTCCATCATATTCAGAAGCCGAAACGCGAAAGGCGGGAGAAGCAGCGAGAGCAAGGGAGCGGCAGGCGGCGGCGCCGTCGCAGGACGAGGCAGAGGAGAGCGACGCGACAGAGGAAGAAGCGACAAGAGAGAGAACGAGAGTGGGACGACCGCGGGGGGTGGCATGAAGGTTGCAGCGAGAATCGGCGAGAGACTGCGAAGAGAGATAGAAAGAGGCAGACGCCCAAATGTGGGCGACGGCTGAATAAATAAATAAAAACGGACACCTCTACGCTCTACTGTGAGATGGGTAAAAAGGAACAGGCCCCCGCCCGTGCGATCTTTGTGCAGGGTTCTTTGTGGGTGTGGTCGGCGACTAGCCGGGGTCGTCCTCCCGATGGGGGACTAGCACTAGCCGTCTTCCACATGGTCCCTCGGGTCCCTGCTGCTCCTAATCTCTTCGTACATCCTCCTGCTGATCTCCGCAAAGTCCTGCTCCCTCCCTCGTCTCGCTCTGCGCGTCTGCTCCGCCTCCACATCGTCTGCCCTGTGCGTCGTCTGGCGACGGGTCCTCCATAGTCGGTCGAGGTCGCCGCCCTCCTCGTGCCTCTTCCCAATGTTCCCTCGGCGGCCGATGCCGTCTGCTCCGGCTCCCCAGTCCCCGGGTCTGCCCTGCTCTCGTCCGCGCTAGCTTCTGTTTCGTCATCACTGGTGTTTCTCCTCTTTCTGAAAACTTTTATTTTATTTCTTTAAACCCTTTTTTCTCCTCTTCTTGTATGCTTTGTAGATCGCATCGATTCCTGTTCGCGTGAGCACCATCCTGAAGCCCGCCCAGCAGCTGAACCGCTCCCTAAGTCGAAGGAGCATCATCAGTCTCACCCACTTCGCTCGCTGCCCACTGACTGTCACCGCTCCCTCCCGCTTGAGCCGCCGTCGCGGCCCTCGTTCGTCCCACTGGCTGTTGGCCCGTCCCTGCGTTGCCTCCATTATCCCTCCTCTGCGACTCCCTCAAGGCCGGCCGGGCCTCCTTCCACCCAGCGAAGAGCTTCCTCAGCCACTCGATGTGTTCCTCTCTCTTCATTATGCGCGCCGTAGCCTCATCATTGAGCTGGATCCACCTCTGCACCGCTCCCGTCGCCGCCTCGGCCACGACTTGCAAGTTCCTCGTGACCCCTGCGCCAAGGTCCCTCCGGCTCTTCTCCGAGAGGTCATCTACCAGTGCTGGCAACACCCCCCCGACGGCTGGGGCTAGTGCATCGTACCCGTCCTCATCCAGCACCCTATAGCGTGAGCCCTTCAGCGCAGCGACATGCGCCATCCTCAGCGTCTTCAGCGTATCCTTGGAGTCGGGTGCCGCCTGTGCTACTTTGCTGATCGCCGTCCCCGTCTGCGCTCGCGCTACTCTGAGGAACCATCTGGCCTGCTCCCTATTCCCCAGGCAGGCGCCGCTAAGTAAGCAAGTGCGCCATTGTCGCTCTAGGCGGGTTCTCATCTTCCTCGGTCCATTGCTGCGCGGCTTTCCGCACGATCGGACACAGCGGGTCCCGCTTTAGTGCAACCGCCCTCCTCGCCGCGTCCCTCGCGGCCTTACATACGAGGCAGCCCCTGAGTTCGCTCCTTGTGGCGGCGCCGGGGTCTCTCTCCCCGCCTCTCCCCGCATGATCCTCTCGTGGTGCGCTCCGTGTGGCACCCCCGCCTGCTGCCGCACCCGCGCTCCCATGACGGTCTTTGTCACCACGTTGTGATCATCCACGTCGGCAAATTCAATCTCGCGCTCGCCGTGCTGATCCTTGATCCGCTGACGCTTGTCCCATTTGTGTCTCTTTCCCCTGACCACATCGCTCCACAGCGGCCCAGGCACCCCCGCCGTGTGTGATCCCGCCGTGAGCCCCTCGCCGAGCCGTCCTCGCACCTACTCGTTCGTGTGGCCGCGTGTGGCGTAATAGGTCCTCCGGTCCAGTACGTCTCCCCTCCACTCTCCGCCTGCCGTCCTCCGGCGGTCCGTGTATAGACACGGGCGTGTCCTCACTGCTCCTCGGATGACGGCGGTGGCATCCTCAATCTCGCTGGCCCCCATGTATGCAGTCGCCGCGGCGTCGGCGTAGGCGTTGCTAGCGCACCCCGCGTGGCTCGGTACCCACAGGAACGTGACAGATTCGAGCTGGGCGCGATATCGGCATATCCCCTCTCCCTGAGCCCCTCAAGAGGGCCTCTTCGGTACGCCGCCTCGATTTGCTGTCGTAGCGCGGGCTTGCAGTCGGCCAGTCGCTCAAGACGAGGCACCTCCTGTCCGCCGCATCTTCCGACGTCGCCATCTTACGCAGGTAAGCCAGCACCGCGTACATTTCCGCGTCTATCACCTGCCAGTCGTCTGGCAGTCTGCCGCCCCACAGCCCCTGCCCAAACGCGAGCCGCAGCTCATCGTCCCCGCTCTCGAGCTGTCCAGATCCCTCGACGGGTCTCCCGAATCGGGCCGGCCCTTCGTACACCCCATACGACACTACCCTCTACCGGTCGCGGTACGAACCTATCCCCCACCCACTTATTCGGCGTGTCTCTCCCTCCATCCGTCGCAGCGAGGTGCGTGAATGGCCGCGCTCTGTGTGCAGCGCGAGGCATATCCTGGCCACCTCCGCGTTGAAGCTCACGGCCCTTCCCGGAGCCTGGGCGACGGCTTGCGCATCACACTCCTCTCCTTAAAATCCCTATGTGGTGGCGGCGTGCCGTCCTCCCATCCCTCCCTTGGGTTGCCTGTTTTCTTTCTTTCTTTTACGATGTGGCGCCCTCTTCTCGACTCTTCCACGTCATATTCTCTGAGTTATCGCAAACTGGTCGTACAGGACGCGCACCTCGTCTGCGAGCTCCTCGTACCGCCTGCCCTGGCCGGAGCCCTGCGCAAGTCCGCGCGGCACGTCCGCGAGTCGCGCGATGAGGGGCTCCTCGAGGTCCCTTAGGCGGCGGGTCACCTCGCGCGCCATCAGCCGGGCGTGCGCGGGCTCGAACGGGCTCTCCAGGCCCGGGTTGGAGAAGTTGTGCGCGAGCTCGGCCTCGATGCCGCGCTCCAGCTCCTCGCCGCGCTCGAGCATGCGCAGCGCGCGCTGAAAGGCGCCCTGCTTCTTGCGGTTGCTCAGGCCCGAGGTGACGACCAGAAAGTCGGGCGAGTTGTGCACGAGGCACGCGTGGCTCAGCCCGCTCTGCACCACCACAGGCTGGCTGCTCAGCCGCCTCTTGGACTGCCAGTCGACGGCTCGCAGCACACCGCGCATGCCCTCCGCGCGGAAGAGCACGTCGCCCATCGCCTGGCACTCAAAGACGTGGTCGACCTGCACTTGAGACATGGTGGAGAGTGGCCGCAGCGTGTACGCGCCATTCCCGCGCTGCTTCCTCTCCAAGTCGCCTCTGTGCGACGTCACCTCCGCGCGCACCAGGTCCTTGAGCATCGAGCGCCACTCGGCGTGCCCATGCCCCTCCAGCCGGGCATACACCTTGCCGCGCCGTCGGACCAGGCCCACGCCGTCGGACAAGGCCGGACAAGCCCCTCCAGCGAGCGGAAGGCCGCATGGCACTGCCTGGGGCGTAGCAGCGTGCGGAAGGCCCACTGCCTGCGGCTGAACAGGAATCCCGCTCGGGACTGCAGGGTCCCACTTCTGTTCGTAGCAAGCTGCAGGTCGCGCCGCCAGCTGAGTGCCGTCCGTGCGAATGCGAGTGCCGTCCGGGTTGAAGAGCGGCTCTGGAGCCTTCGGTGGTGGTCGCGGGCGGCAGCAGGGCAGACAGTTGCCCATAGCTCTTCAACGTCGTGGTCCCATCGGCAACTGTCGGCTCCCGGGCCTGGCGCACTGAAGGGCCAAGCCGGCCGCCAAAGAATTTTACCACGCGCTGCCTCGCACAACACTGGGCACGGGACTGGCGCGCACTGGCGAAAGAAGTGTGGCTGAATACTGGGTTCCGGCTCCTACCCATATACGGGGTCTGTTCACACTGACTCGCACCAAAACGCGCTACCTATCTACCTACCCCCAGGCCGCGCGCGCAGCGAAGCGAAAAAAGACGAAAAAGGGGGTACCACCTGTTGAGGGGGGGCCTCTGGGGCGGTCAAAACCGGACCTACCTACCTGTTGCATAGGGTCTAACCGGGGTGAATAGACCCCCTATCTGGGTAGGAGCCGGAACCCTGGCACAAAACACCAAGGAACACGAATAACGAACAACCCCCGCTGATCTGGTCCTCACGGGGTTGACCGTCTCCTCCAGATCGAGACGGACTTCATGAACGATCGAGAGACGGATTTCATGAGCGGCCGAGCAATATTTCTTCATTAATATTATTAATTGATGCTTTTTGCACGGCTGAGCCCCCCCCCCCCCCCGCGCCCATTCCCTGCCCTCTCCCGCCACACACTCCGTCAGAGCCCTCTCCCCTCTTGCACAACAGGAATTTTGACAACTAACCAGCTGTCTCTTTGTCTCCTCCGCTTCCTATCGCAGGCGAGCTGACAGCACGTATCTGACAGTCTGACAGCAGAGTCTGACAGTCGAGGGCTCCCGTCGCTGTCAGGCCCTAACGTGACAGCCTGACAGCTGCCCGACAGCCCGACAGCACACAGTGGTCTGACAGCAGCGCTGACAGCCCGACAGCAGCACAGACCGTACACAGACCCCGTAGAGCCTCTTTCTTGTGCCCCATGAGGGTGTAACAAAATTACATGCAAAGACATGTGAGTGTGGTCCATGTAGTCATGGGATGGTCATGGGTCTCTCTTTCAACCCTCCCGCCCCACCTCTGCGGACCCCTCTCTATCACCGGCGGCTGTGTGCTACTACAAATGAAGCTACCAGCTAGCCTTCTGGGGCCCTACAGCCATATGCCTACGGCGTCTGGGTGGGGGTGGCCACCGCCGTCTGTGCCGCCGCCGCCGCCTGCGCCTGCGCCGCCATCTGCGCTCCTCAGGCGGCCGCCGCCGCCGGCGTGATCACGCCGTAGGAGGGGGGCAGCTGCGTAGCCGCCAGTAGAGTCCTGCTGGTCTCCTCTTGATAGTGTCATAAGTGTTGCTGGTGTGTGTCAGAGCCTGACAGCACCCCGACAGCACCACCTGACAGCACCTGACAGCAACAGCCCAACGTCTGACAGCAGCAGCAGCCTGACAGCTCCGACAGCTCCGACAGCGTCTGACAGCAACACCCGACAGCTCCGACAGCACCCGACAGCTACAGATCCCCTCGACTGTCAGACACGCACCCGACAGCACCCGACAGCACTGACAGCACCTGACAGCTGGTCTGACAGAGGCACCTGACAGTGCCTGACAGCTGCCCGACCGAGCCCGACAGATCACCTGACAGCACCTGACAGCCTGACAGCCAGGGCTCAGTGCCCCCAATGCTAAGCCTAAATCTGGCATGGCCCCTCAGAGTCAGCGTCAGAAAGGTGCTGTTCAAATAAACCCGCGTCTTACAAAAACGAAGAGAAAAAAATCGCGGAAAAAAGAGTCGGGCACGGCGCACGGGGCGTCGGGGGTATAATCTACTAGAAGGAATCAATTTTCGAGTTCAAGCGCCTCGCGTGAACGTGGCGCTACAAGGTGTGAATTTGCATTAGCGCCGCGCCGGGTGCCAGAGCTTGTTGTGTGGACAGTTCTTATCGGCACCAATACACCCGTCGTCCACAGACGCCATCGACTCCTCGGCTTGCCAGCGCAGCAGTTGGGTGACGCGTCCAAAGTTGCTCGAGAAGGTGCCGACCACCCACTCCGCGCGGCTCATGAGAGTCAGCTCTGCGTAGAGGCGATAGACCACCGCGCGGCTGTTGCCTCGGCCGGGGTCGGATTCAAAGTGGCGCAGCCGCCAACTGTGCCGGGCAGTCGCCTCGCACTTGCGAACGCCGTCGATCACTCGTAGGTCGTCGGTGGCGACAAACACATCGAGCTCGCTGCATTTGTCGCCGCATAGCTGCTCGAGTCTGCTGGCGTACGTGCACTCGGCCACCGGTTTCGCCTCGATCCGCTTGTCGGTGCGCCGAATGTGCATCGCGGCGAAGCGTCCGCCGGCCCAGGGTAGACCCCGGAGGTGCACCGCGTGAATGCGCTCCTCGACGTCGGGCTGCACGCGCAGCACGAGGCGGGCAATCATGCGCCAGGCTTGCAGCTGCGAGGAGTTGCAGCTGGGTGCGGCCACGCCGAGTACCGTTGCAGCCGTGTGGCACGCTCGCACCACCTCCTCCTCTCCCACCTCATAATAGTTGTGCAACGGCCACCTGTCGAACTCCACGCGGACTATCTGCCCGCAGTTGCTCAGCGGCTGAAAGAAGCAATGCGGGCTATAGGCGGCGTCTTCCGCCGCGCAAACGAGTTGCGACGGCTGAAAGCCGAGCCCGTTGATCATGGCGTATGGCGCAGCGAGGAGCATACGGTTGACAAGCGAGCCCCAGCCGGTTCGAGGGTTGGATCTGATCCCCCCTGGCATCAGCGTAAACTCACATGTTTGCACTGGCCATGAGACAGGCTGGCAGCCGCAGCCTGGACAGGGCTCGGCTGGACGGAAGGGCGTCGCCGCCCCATGACCCCACACAAAGCCTCGCTCGCTGTCTGCGGTGCGCTCCTCCCAAGCGCACGCCGTGAGGCCCACGCAAGCCGAGCCGGCTCTGCACGGAGGCAGCTCACTCCCTCGTGAGATCAGCTGTCGAGGCGGCGGAGGGGATCGTCGAGCTCGCCGTGATAGGGAGAAGGGCCGTGAATGGGGGGTGGGCGGCGAGAGGCTGATCGGGAGTGTGATTGGGAGCGTGACGGCCGCTTCTGAGTGTGCTGGCGCCGAGGCTCTCGCCGATCTCCAGACGCCGAGGCTGTAGCCTACTGTCCACGACAGACCAACAGCGGCTGCAATCAAAAGAGTCGCCCCGCATCCGCGACCCGTGCCGTCGGGCGCGCGTGCCATTTGTTTATTGGCGGCTTTTCGCGCGTTCGTTCGGCTTTTTCAACGTTCGGTCCCCGAGAATCCCAAACTTGAATCTTTTCTGTTAATTCCTCCCCGCTAGTGAACCCTGACAGTCTGTCTGCTGTGAGAGCCCCTGTGTGGAGAGCCTGCCGCGTGCGGCGATTCCCCTCTCTCTCCGGCTGCGCGCCTGACCGGTGCGTGCGGCCTCCGTCCGAGTCGGTCGGCGTCTGGCGCGCGATAAGATGTTTGTTCATTTTCCTTTTTGCGTGACTGTCTCTGTGTGATTTCGGGCCCGGGGTTGTGCGTTTATGTGAAGAGCGCTTCTCGACTGTCTGTCTGTGCTTGTGCGTCGTGGGTCCGGGGCTGAGGGAGGGTGTAGAGGATGTAGAGTGTAGAGCGCTGTAGAGCTGTAGAGCTGGAGAGTGCTGTAGAGCTGTAGAGCTCTACATCCACCGCGTGACGAGGCGGGTGCGTTGTAGAGCGATGTAGAGGCGCTCTACAACGTGAAATCTCTACAACAAACTCTACATCATAAGCGGCGAACGAGGCACGGTCGCTCTCCGACATGAGGCGCGTTGCACTTACCAGTGCTGCCCTGGCCTTCTGTCTGCCCGCCCAATGGGTGGGAGGTGCCTCTGCTGCTGTGGCATGCCTCACGGCTGCGACTGGCCGGCGCCTCGGCGCGTCAGCTCGGCTTGGCGTAGCGATCGTGGCCAGCGCAACTCGCCTGGACTCAACGCTCAGCCAGGAGCTCCCGCACGCGCTGGCGCGAGTCATGGCGCATGCAACGCGTCTGAATGCTCGCCTCGCCTCGCGCAAATGCGACCGTCCTCGCAGCCGATAGTCCACCGCCTGCTAAAGAAGCACAGCGACGAATGCGGCACCGGCGACGCATGGCAGGCTGGTCATGACGCAGTTATAGGGTGTTGTGTGCCGTCAGAGTGACCGTCTCTGTGTGTCAGTGATAGTCAGGGCCGTCCATCAGAGCTCCAGTAAGCTCGGAGACACCCCATTAGCGCGGCTCGACCTCTTTGAGTCACTGCCTTCCCGGCGGTTTGGCTGTAGAGCCTCTACAACAAACTCTACAGCAAAATCGCGCTCTACATCGCTCTACAACGCACCCGCCTCGTCACGCAGCCGATGTAGAGCTCTACAGCTCTACAGCGCTCCAGAGTGCTCTACAGCTCTACAGCTCTACAGCGCTCTACACTCTACATCCTCTACACCCTCCCTCAGGTCCGGGGTTGTGTTTTTGTGTGAAGAGCGCGGGTTGTTGAGCACTTGAGCACTGGATAGGGTCGATTCCGCATGGTACGGGACCCCTCGATCGTCTCGCCCACCCTCACTGGTGTGTTCATGGGGGGGGGGGGTCATAACAAACACGGTACAGGATCGAGGTGCACGCTGCCAGAGCAGTGTCGTCCCCCCTCTCCCCGACGGCGATGGCGGTGTGACCGATCGAGCTACAAGAGGAGCTTGTTCAGCAGGATCCGGAGTGGCCAGATGCACTACCTCACTGGGCCTGAGACCATCCACGACAGCATCCCGTCACCCCTCCGGATTTGTGTGGCGGGGTCGAACCACTCCGGGATGGGCAAGCCCATTGTTGTAGACTGTCGGAGAAAGTGTTGTCAGCGCTGTCGGGCTGTCGGGCACTGTCCGGGGTTTGCTGTCAGGCTGTCAGACCAGGCGCAGGGGGCTCGCAGTGGGGGCATCTCGAACACGATACACACGTCTGTCCGTCTCGAGTGACTCGAGCGTCGAGGTGTCGTCGTGTGAGAGCTTTTCTTACTCGGGAATTTTTCGTCCGGTGTGGGTCGCGAACGGGCGGAGGAGGGGACGCCACGCTAGGGTACGGCCACGCCCCCGCCACACAGCCGCCACACGCCCCACACGCACACGCCCCACCCACGCGCGCAAATAAGAGCGAGGGGCCCGCGCTGGCCCAGCGTGAGCTACAAGTGAGAAAGGCCCTGCAGACTAGGGCGCTCACCCGATCTCGACGTCCGGATGACAGCAGTTGCCGACGACGGCGCAAGAGTGGAGGTTGCCTCTGGCTGAGAAGCGGAGGTGGGGCATGGAGGGGGGCGGGGGGGCGGGGGAGACTCACCACACACATCTTCCCCAGCAGTCCTAAGAGGTGGCGCGAGAGGCAGCAGAGCTCGGGACAGCGCGCTCCGCCCTCCGCACAGGCATGGGTGCGCGCAGGCTCCGCCGCGAGAGAGCAATCACTCCAGAGCAGTCACTCCAGAGCAGTGACTCCAGAGAGCAGTGACTCCAGAGAGCAGTGGCTTGCGGGAGGGCCGCACGTCTCAGTAGCGGCGGTCGTCATACCGGTCGTAGTCCCGCCGGTCATACTCGCGCCGCCTACGCGAACAAGCGGGCGCTCTCGTCCCGGCTCCGCCTCTCCGTGCCGGTGGTCCGGCAGAGGCTGCGCTCTCTCTCGCCTGTCGTCGCGCCGGTCGTAGTCTCTCCCGCGGTCGTCGTAGTCGCGGCGCCGATCGTCGTACTCGCGGCGCCGATCGTCGTACCGCTCATCGTACCGGTCGCGCCCGCGGTCGCCGTAGCTTCGGTCGCGCCCGCGGTCGTCGTAGCTCCGCCGCGACTCGGAGCCGCGCCGCTCGTCGCGCCGCTCGCGGCTGCGGCTGCGCTCGCGCCGGTCGCCGCCGCCGCCGCCGCCGCTGGCGCCCGCGCCCCCCGCGGCGGGCGGGTTGCGGGAGCGCAGCTCCTGCAGCTTGTCTCGGATCGCCTTCCACGCCTTGTACATCTTGCCCGAGTGCAGGTCCTCGATGCGCGACTCGTTGTCGGTCGAGGACCAGACGAGGCCGGACACCTCGTCGACAAACTGCTTCTTGCCCGCGAGGGGCTGCGCCTTGCGCTCGATCTCCTGCAGCTGCAGCTGCAGCGCCTCCGCCTTGCGGAACGCCGTCATCGACTCGTCCACCTCGCCCTGCTCGCCGAGCGCCTCGGACTGCGCCTGCAGCTCCTTGACCTCGCCGCGCAGCCGGTCAATCTCGGCCTGAGTCTCGGCCGGGATGGGCGGCACCAGCGCGTTCTCGCGCTCGTACCGCTCCTTGGCCTTTGCGATCCGCCGGTCCTGCTCGTCCACCAGCAGCTCGAGCAGCAGCATCAGCTCGCGCTCGTACCCGTACTTGTCCTTCTCCTCCTGCGGCAGCGCCTCCCACTGCACGCGCAGCGCCTCGGAGCGCTCCTTGAGGAAGCCGTCGCGCTGCAGCTGCGGCATCGTCTCGAACTTGGTCCCCTTGAGCAGCTCGTACGGCGAGCAACCGCACAGGTGGAACCGGTCGATGCTCGGGTCGGAGAAGGAGGGAAGCGCCTTCTCTCGCTCCTCGAGCGGCACGTCGCGGGCCTTGCCCATCAGCTCGTCCATCTGCTCGCGCATGAGCTCGTGCGGAGTTTTGCCCATCGCTGCGCGCTCACACGAAGGGTGCGCAGCAGGCGCGCCACGGCGCAGGTTTCGGAGAGAGAAAGCGCTGGCGTGCCTAATCGAAGGAGTGTGAGCAGCACTCCTCGCAGTCGTAGCATCTCTGTGCGATTGTGAGCACCTACTCGCAATCCTACATCTTCTAGGACTTAAAGAGCAGCTCCGCTCACACACACACAATCAATGATCAATCAATGCTACTACCCCGCGCGCTCACAAGTCGGGCAAAGTCCAGGATTGCGAGCAGTTCAGCTCATAATCCTAGCAACATGCCTCCGATTGCGAGCAGTTCGCAATCCTACATCTTGTTGAGCTCGCAATCGGAGGCATGTGCGATTGTGAGCGCCTCGCTCGCAATCCTACACCAAATTATGTTCTAGGACTAAGAGCAGCTAAAGTGAGCAGCTCCGCTCCCAAGGTGACTGGTGACGCCTACGACTACTACCAGCGCGCTCGCAATCCGAGCAAACAAAGTCTAGGTTGCTAGCACGCCACGGCTCACAATCCTAGGAAGAGCTAGAGCTTCTAGCGCTCGCAATCCTACATCTTGTAGGACTATGTGCGGCTGCGCTCACAATCATACCAAAGATCCACAGAGGGGGAAAAACAACATGGTATTGCTAAAAATCTCTCTCTCTCTCTCTCACAGAGGGATGGGCTAGAAATGCACAGAGGCCGCTCCCAATCGCTCCAGCCGCGGGCGCTTGTGAGCGCGCCCCGGGACGGTCTCCTCACAAGAGCAGGCGCACATCGCTTCCAGGGGGGGGGGGGCGCACTTCTGGTCACACCAC